AAAAAAGAACGCCGCCCCCCCCCCCCCCCGTCCCATGTAGAATCGCTGCAAAAGGGGCTTAACTAGGGTGACCAACCTCCAGGTGGTGGCTGGAGATCGTCTGCGATTACAGCTGACATCCAGGCGGCAGAGGTCAGTTCCCCTGGAGAAAAACGGCTGCTTTGGAGGATGGATGACGCTATGGTAGTGTTAACTCTGATCGTGGTATAGACTGACAGTTGAATGCAGGGCTTTTTTTGTAGAAAAAGCCCAGCAGGAACTCATTAGCATAATAGGCCACACCCAACAGCAGGAACTCATTAGCATAGTAGGCCACACCCTTGACAGCACAGCATATTAGGCCACACCCCCATACCACCAGAAGTGTGGTCATCCAGCCACACCCACCTTTTGCTTCTTATTCTGTTTACCTTGTTTGTTGTCCAAACCCAGGGCTTTTTTTGGAGCAGGAACTCCTTTGCATGTTAGGCCACACACCCCTAATGTAGCCAATCCTAATGAGTTTCTGCCGCTGGGTGTGGCCTATTATGCTAATGACTTCCTGCCGGGTGTGGCCAACTTGGGAGCCAGCCGGAACTCCGTTCCTGTGCGTTCCTGCCCCAAAAATAGCCCTGGTTGAATGTATTTTGATAACTGGCCCATGTGATCAGTGTTCCCTCTAAGCTGAGTTAGTGTGAGCCGGCTTGCAGTTTCTTAGCCTCCGGCTCACACATTTCTGTCTTCGCTCAGGAAGGATGGCTGGCTCCAGAGCAAACTAATTTAATTCCAGTAGCTCACAAAGTAGAAGTTTTGCTCGCAAGACGCCACAGTATTATAAAAACATTGAACATAAAAATACCAGACATTTAATGTATTCTGAGGTGCATATTATTTTGCACGGCTTGTTGTTTTGCTATGCCTCCAGGTGGTGTGGCTGGAGGTCCCGTTATAACTGATCTCCCGGGATGGTTGCCAACCTCCAGGTGGCACCTGGAAGCCTCCAGCTAGTACAGTCGATCTCCAGGCAATCGAGGTCAGCTCCCCTGGGGGGAATGGCCGCTTTGGAGGGTGGATTCTGTGGCATTGTACCCTGCCGAGGCCCCTCCCCTCCTGCACTTCCCCAGGCTCCACCCCCCAAATCTCCAGGTTTTTCCCAACTCATAACTGGCAAGTCTCTCTCCAGGCGATAAGAGACCAGTTCACCTGGAGAAAGCGGCAGGTTTGGAAGGTAGACTGTATGGCATTATATCCCATTGAAGTCCCCCCCCAACCCCCCTTCTCAGGCCCCCCCCCCCCCCCCAAATCTCCAGGTATTTCCCAACCCAGAGCTGGCAACTCTGGCACTGTACCCTAAAACCCCTCCTCCAGGGTATAGCCAGGAGATCCTAAGATTGTCTGGCAGCCAAAAGTTCTAGCTCTTTTAGCGTCATGCACCACTAGGTGGCGAGCTAGACTTGTTTTTGAGGCAAGAGGCGTTTCAGAGGTGGTGTGCCGTTGCCCGCCTTTGCGTCACGACCCTGGTCTTCCTTGGAGGTCGTCCTTCCTAATACTAGCCGAGGCCGACCCTGCTTAGCTTCCGAGATCTAGTGGGATCGGGCTTGCCCGGGCTATCCAGGCTTCTGAGTGCTTGTATGAGACCAGTTTGACTAACACTTTTTTACAGCAGAAAGTCAAAAGATGCGTACAAGATTCTCACTTGGACAAGAGCAACATCTGAGTCGAGTGCCACCTTAAACACCAACCAGATCTCCAGGGCAGAAGCTTTTGGGACAAATACAACAAGGACCCAGCAAACTTAGAAAACATACAAAAACAACAAGTTGCTGCACAGGTTCATATTTCTTTGCAATCAATTAATGTTGTTTTAATGGATATTCTTGTTTCAATAGATGAACATCATCAAGAGACAGAAGTCTCAGCAGGGCAAGCAGACGAACTTTCTCGAGCTTGGCTGTCCGTTTCGGCCAAAAAATTTTGTAATAGATTGGAGCTATTGATAGCCATTCATGGAGTTTTGACAAAGACTTTGGTCGAAACAGACAGCCAAGCTCGAGAAAGTTCGTCTGCTTGCCCTGCTGAGACTTCTGTCTCTTGATGATGTTCATCTATTGAAACAAGAATATCCATTAAAACAACATTAATTGATTGCAAAGAAATATGAACCTGTGCAGCAACTTGTTGTTTTTGTACAGAAGCTTTTGGGAGCCAAAGCGCCCTTCGTTGGATACACCTTTGACTCTCGAACTCTTATGCTCTGGAAATCTGGCTGGTCTTGAAAGCGTGACTGGGCTCGAACCTTGCTCTTTGACGGTTAAAAAAGTTTTCCCTAAGATCCAGCCGGTACCCACTATTGCGAGTCCTCTCCTCTGCTGCCAACAGGAACGGCTCCCCGCCCCCCTCTAAGGGACAGCCCTCCTGTCCGTCGCCCAGCCCTCCCGGCCCCACAGACGCTTCCGGCAACTGGAGGGGTAAAGAAATACCAACTTTAATAATAACCATTGGGTTCCTTTGGTATAATCAAGATAAATCAAACCGATACAAATCGTGTGTAGTGGTGGTGGTGGTGGGGAAACAGTTGGGGAAAGGGAGTGAGGTGAAAACGAAGCCCCCCCACGGTTTGGGGGGGGGGGCAGGCACAGTGATAGCAGGTGCGGGG